TCCTGAGGCCTTTGGGGCTACAAGATAAAAATCCCAGAGTGGTGGCACCATTGGCATCTCTCAGCAGAGGATGTAGATTTATCGTTGACGAAATCAGGGCTGAGTGAGTCAAAGGGAAACCTCACAGTATCCTCTGGGGTTGCGTGGGAGGAGGGAACATAATATGTGCTTCCCGCGGCCATTATTTTCTGGGTGGAAGGAAGACAAAACTGGATGTAGAACCTACCGAAAGAAAGAGACAATGATAGGTTCCTCTAATGGAAAACAGCTTTGGGGGAAGACGTTTGGAGACAACATGCCATGGGATGGATGCCAAGCCAAGGGCTTTGTCTGTAGCACGTCTAGTCTTGCGGTTATCTCACTGGGTTTGTTTAATATTCTTATGTCCCTATTTCGCTGACCAGCTGGCATATCGTATGGGTTAAGCTGTCTAGTTTAGGGAAGTCAGTAGGTACGTGAGGTCCGATTTGGGTATTACAAAATGTGTAGCCCACCACATGCTGTTTCATCAGAAAATTTTCATTTCCATAAGAAACCAAATAGTCTCTATTTTTTGGTCGGGGGGGGCGGAGGGCACAGGGATCTTGCACGATCCATATATATATATATATATATATATATATATATATATATATATTTACTTTGCTTATATACCGCTGTTCTCAGCCCGAAGGCGACTCACAGCGGTGTACAACATAGAAAAACAGGGTTCAAAATTCAAGACACAATCTAAAACAATCCACAGTCCAGCATTAACAACAACATTATCATCAAAAACATCATCAGTTACTACAAAAGCCATTTCACATCGTCTCATCGTCCAAACCACAATCCAGTATCATTTTCCGTTGTTCCATTCCTATCGTCCTTACCAATCATTGCACTTCTTGTTTGAATGCCTTCTTGAACAGCCAAGTTTTTAATTTTCTGCGGAAGATCTTCAGGGAAGGTGCCAGTCTGATGTCCACGGGAAGGGTGTTCCACAGCCGAGGAGCCACCACCGAGAAGGCCCTATCTCTCGTCCCCGCCAGCCGTGCCTGTGAGGCAGGCGGGATCGAGAGCAGGGCCTCCCCGGAAGATCTCAAAGTCCTGGTGGGCTCATAGGCCGAGATGCGGTCAGTTAGGTATCTTGGGCCGGAACCGTTTAGGGCTTTATAGGCCAACGCCAGCACCTTGAATTGAGCCCGGTAACAAATCGGCAGCCAGTGGAGCTGGTACAACAAGGGGGTTGTATGCTCCCTGCGTCCTGCTCCTGTTAGTATCATGGCTGCCGCCCGTTGGACCAGTGGAGCTTCTGGGCCGTCTTCAAGGGCAACCCCACGTAGAGAGCGTTGCAGTAGTCTAAACGGGATGTATATATATTAATAATTTTTATTATATTATAGACACACAAAGAAATACGATCCTTTAATTGGAATTTATAATAATAATATAGTAATACACCTTTATTTGTACCCCACTACCATCTCCTGGAGGACTCGGTATGGCTTACAAGAGGCCGAGCCCAAATACATCAGTAAAAACACAACAACAACAAAATGAACTCAAAACAAAGCAATAAACATTAACGAAACACAACGATGCATTAAAATCCATGGCAGGGCCAAATGTAATAGTTAAAATTAAAAATATGCTGGGCATGACCAGGTGAAAAGGGTAGGTATTTGGAGGGGGATGGGGCATGCAGATATCCTGGGACTCTAGGAAAGTGCATTTGGGGACATACTGCTTGGAGTTTCCTTATTCTGGGAAGGCACACTGGAACAATCACATTTTCAAGCTCCTCCTAAAAATTGCCAACGTTGGAGCATGCCTGATGTCCTTAGGGAGAGAGTTCCAGAGTCGAGGGGCCACCACCGAGAAGGCCCTCTCCCTCATCCCCACCAATCGCACTTGCGATGCAGGTGGGATTGTGCAGCCCCCTCGAAACTCAGCCCCCCTTGAAGCCATTGTTCCGTGTCCTAGTCTCCAGGGAAGCAGAAAACAAGCTTGCTCCCTCCTACCTGTGGCTTCCCCTCACATGGCTATCATATCTCCTCTCAGCCTTCTCTTCTTCAGGCTAAACATGCCCAGCTCCTTAAGCCGCTCCTCATAGGGCTTGTTCTCCAGACCCTTTATCATTTGAGTCGCCCTCCTCTGGACACATTCCAGCTTGTCAATATCTCTCTTGAATTGTGGTGCCCAGAATTGGACACAATATTCCAGGTGTGGTCTAACCAAAGCGGAATATTCTGTGCTTTGCAGAGACTCCGGTCCCATGTTTTTCAGTCTTTACTTTTTGGTTCTGGTTGCAAAGGCAAACCTAAGAAAAGGAAAATTGCTAGGTTTGCAAAAGGCATGGGGGGGGGGGGGGAGCATATACACACACACAAGTGGAAACAGAGATATTTTAAATTATCAGAGCTTTCCTGAACTTCAACAATCGTTTGTTTTGGGCTTGGCTCAAGTATTTTAGTGGAGGTTTGGGTCAGTTTTTAATAGCGGTTCTCGCTCATCCATTAAGTGACACGTGAAATGTGCCAAACCCCAGTCCTCCCATCCTTCCTTGCGTTCTTGGGGGCCAAAGAAGTGTAGGAGAGAGACGGGAGGCACACAGTAAGGGCCATCAGAGAGAGGCGAAAGGAGCAAGAGGCTGGAGAGATCCACGGTTGTATAAATTGCAGATGTGGACCGGGTAAATCCCCAAACGGGATAGGCGATTCTTTTTTCTTCTACTTTTTCTTTTTGGAAAAAAAAAGAATCGAAAACATAAAATAACAACCCCTTTTCCCCCAACAAGGGACAAGCTTGCGAAAAATGCACGAGAGGAGAATTGCAAAACGATACATGTCGAATCGCTGGAAAGGATTTCAAATGCCAAAGATAGTTTATATAAAGTCTTGCACTGTTGTAAAATGTAACACTATCCACTGGCAAGTCGGAGTGAAGTTTGATCCCAGTTAAGGTTTTCTTTCTTCCTCCCTGCTTTCCCCCCATTTCTCTCCCTCACCCCCCCTTTTTTTCTTTCTTTTTTTTGAAAAACACAACTGAAAAACTTATTCCAGCCCATTAAACTTGATTTATGTTTTGCCTGTAGATTCCTTTGCTCTCGGCCTTTTGGGGATTCGAGTTAGAGAAATCATTACCTCACTGTTGACCAATCCGACCTCTCCGTTTCCCAAATATTTAAAGTGCTTCTCTTTTGCATCACTTGCAGGGGAATATAAGGGAACTATTCTTACTTGAAATGCAGTGGAATTGCTCCACATTCCCCACCACCCCCCACTAGCCTTGGAAACGTTTCATAGGGTTGTACTTGGGGTCAGTCCTGCTATTAGGGGAAATGACATTTTATCATTTTATCATGTCACTAGTAGGGTTGTGCATTCGGGGTAAACCTTGACCCATTTCGTGTCCCGACTTTTGGTGGGGGTCCTGATCTGTTTTTTGGGGGTCTCCCAAAATCGGGAGGGCACATCTCTGTTTTCGCTCTGGGGTGCTAAAAGATCCATTTTCTATTGGTCCATTATGAGGGGGGGATGGACTTCCCAGGCTTCCTTTTCCATCATTTTAGGCATTTACACTATTTTACTCTAGAGGAGAGTTGCTCAGTTGCAGGCAGGCTTGTGCACTTTTTCGAAGGCAAGGAGCAAGTTCTGTTTCTATACTCTAGAGGAGCCACTCGGCTGCAGGCAGCCACACACCCTTTTTCCAAGGCAAGGAGGAGGCAAGATCTCTTTCTCTACTCTAGAGGAGGTGTTTTGCTGCAGGTAGCCACACACACTTTTCCAAGGCAAGGAGAGAAGACCTCTTTCTCTACTCTATAGGAGGCGCTTGGCTGCAGGCAGGCACGCAAACACTTTTTCCATGGGAAGGAGGCAAGTTCTGTTTCGCTACTCTAGAGGAGGTGCTTGGCTGCAGGCAGCCACAACACTTTTTCCAAGGCAAGGAGGAGGCAAGATCTCTTTCTCTACTCTAGAGGAGGCGCTCGGCTGCAGGCAGCCACACACACTTTTTCCAAGGCAAGGAGGCAAGATCTCTTTCTCTACTCTAGAGGAGGTGCTAGGCTGCAGGCAGCCACACACACTTTTTCCTAGGCAAAGAGGCAAGATCTCTTTCTCTACTCTAGAGGAGGTGCTTGGCTACAGGCAGCTACACACACTTTTTCCTAGGCAAGGAGGCAAGATCCCTTTCTCTACTCTAGAGGAGGTGCTCAGCTGCAGGCAGCCACACACTTTTTTCCAAGTCAAAGAGGCAGAATCTCTACTCTAGAGAAGGCACTCGGCTGTAGGTAGCCACACACACTTTTTCCTAGGCAAGGAGGCAAGATCTGGTTTTTTTCTACTCTAGAGGAAGCGCTCGGCTGCAGGCACGTGTGCTTTCAGGGCCTGCATGCCACACACACACTCTTTTAAAGGCAAGGAGGCTGCTCACGAAAAGCAGGCGAGGAGCCCTGGCTCCCGCTTGCTTTTGTGTCAAGCTGATTTTTGTGCTGGGATGGGACTTCCTGTAACATGCTCCCGAAGGTAACGAAACTAACGAAAGAACAGATGATCGGAATGAAAATGGTTCCGTGCAGAATCTTAGACACTAGCATTTATGCCCAGTGTTGCCCAGGTATCACAGGGACCTCTGCTTACCTACTTTACCCCTTCTCCAGCTTTTCCTCCATTTCTCTCATACATGTTCTCCCTCTCACTTTTCTTTTCCCTTTCTTTCTTTCTTTCTTTCTTTCTTTCTTTCTTTCTTTCTTTCTTTCTTCCCTTTCTTTTCCTTATACACCTTCTCCCCTCTTCTTTCTTTCTATCCTTTCTCTTCCCTTCTTTTTCTCTCTCTGACTTTGATATGTATTGATTGCATTTTTTTCCACAGCTGAGGCTGGCCTTTGTGGAATATTCTGCCTCTGATTTGGGAGACAGTACACCATTTGCACAATGATTCAATCCATATAGTATGGAAGGGCCCCTTGTTACCACTTTTCCAGTTTGATTCCATACCATTTCTTTTCCTCTTTGTCTCAGATCTGCCGAACTAAAGTGTCTGACTTCAGCGATGGGATTTTGCAGTATGCCTGGTACCCGTGCACTGCCATGCCATTTTCTGGCTCACCCATGCTGTTTTACAGCTCGCCTGTACACAAAACGGATACCATTTTTTGGCTCAAGGTAAGTGAATACCTTACCTTGGTAAGATTCTGTATTTTATAATATACTTTAGTTACATTCCGCTCCATCTCCTTGAGGGGACTCAGACCGGATTACAGTACACAAATATGGCAAACATTCAGTACTGTTATACAATTAACAAAGGCAGACAGTATATAAACAGAGGTAAAAGTTTCCCATCTTTTTCCATCTCTGGCATATGGATGCTGTGCCTGATACGAGCCATGGGGAGGTGCTGTTGCTCCATCTTTCATGCCGAGGAGCTCTCTTGTCTTTAGACCCTCTCCCGATCTGGACCAAACTTGGCGTTATGACTCAGCTGGAATCTCACAGTGATAGTGTCAATGATTCTGATGGGGATGATGGGATTTAGATTCACAGTCAGGTGCAAAGCAATGATGTCCCTGTGTTAGACGAAGAAGACCAGGAACAGGGGGAAGAAGTTCAGTTGTTTCCCACAGCAAGGGATGACGCTGGGGAAAGTGAAACTATTATTATTATTATTATTATTATTATTATTATTATTATTATTATCTTTATTTGTACCCTGCTAGCATCTCCCGAAGGACTCGAGGCTTACAGAGAGCCAGGTGCAGGATTCAAGAAGGGAGTATAGTTCTCAGCCTGATAATGAGAGAAAAAGCACTAATGAGGGAATTGACCTTGATGAAGCCGAAGGTTTAGATCTTGCTGATCGGTTGGAATTTAAGGTTCGAAGGAGTGTCAGGATCGCTAGCATGCGAGAGAGGGAGGCTCGGGGCCATAGGAACGCCTTCATGTTGTCCAAAGAGTATTAAACAGGCTGTTTTAATATGCCTCAGTGTCAAAGCAACTTCCTGCTTCAACCAAGAGACTTTGGATTTAACTTGCAGCTTTCATGTTCATGTTTTGGGACTTTGTCATGCTCTCATGGGACTTTGCCTTGCTTGTGTCTTCATGGATCTTGTTTGCCTATGTTACCTTGGATTGATCTTCTGAAATATGCTCATGCTTTTTTGAATTTTTTATCTTTTACTTTAAAGAACCATAAAGACGACTGTTGGTGTGTTCTTTGGTGTCTTAAGCAAGGTGATTTTACCCTGTGGTGCGACACTTGGCACGAAGACTCAATATGTGCAAATATCAACACCGGTGGAGTTTAGGGAAAATAGACCTTGACATTTGGGAGTTGTAGTTGCTGGGATTTGTAGTTCACCTACAAAAAGTATCCTGAAGCCCACCAATGATAGGAATTGGGCCAAACTTCCCACGCAGAAACAAAACAACTGACAACAACCCGCCCAATCACCATGACCAACAGAAAATACTGTTGGTGGGTTGTTGTAGGTTTTTCGGGCTAAATGGCCATGGTCTAGAGGCATTCTGTCCTGATGTTTCGCCTGCATGTATGGCAAGCATCCTCAGAGGTAGTGCGGTCTGCTGGAACTAGGAAAAAGGGTTTATATATCTGTGGAATGACCAGGGTGGGACAAAGGACTCTTGTCTGCTGGAGCTAGGTGTGAATGTTTCAACTGACCACCTTGATTAGCATATAATGGCCTGACAGTGCCTGGAGCAAACTTTTGTTGAGAGGTGATTAGATGTCCTTGTTTGTTTCCTCTCTGTTGTTGTGCTGTTGTAATTTTAGAGTTTTTTAATACTGGTAGCCAGATTTTGTTCATTTTCATGGTTTCCTCCTTTCTGTCCACATGCTTGTGTATTTCAGTGGCTTCTCTGTGTAGCCTGACATGGTGGTTGTGAGAGTGGTCCAGCACTCTCTGTGTTCTGTGTTCTCAAATAAAATGCTGTGTCCAGGTTGGTTCATCAGGTGCTCTGCTATGGCTGATACTGTTGGTGATACCTCTGGCACCCCCTCGCGACCCCCCCCCCCCGGTGTCCCGAATCCCAGGTTGAGAACCACTGGTCTAGAACTTTATCTAAACCTTGTAGTATCATTTTCCTCTCTTCTCAGGGTCACTTCTCACAACCTATGGTAGCTGCTGCTGTTATTATCCACCTGGTTACTGACGGGACATGGGCACAGATGGACCTGGATCAGAAGGAAGAAGCCATTTCCGTGCAACTGATTGACACCAAAAACCAAAGCCATGACCTCGGTAAGAACCTTGCTTAGGACCTCCAAAAGACATAGGGCCAATTTGGGCTGATTTTTTTGAACCCGAAACAAAACAACTGAAAACAACCCTTCCAATTTCGGGAGGCTTACCGAAAATGGATTGGACCCCACAATGAAAGCCCAGAAACGAAACTGGACAAGCTTTTACCCGTATACACACCACTAATAAATACAGTACTACACTGGAAACATAGAAAGTTCAAAATGCCATGTTTTGTTGAGAAAATGTGTGCTGGTACGGCTGTACCAGGAGATCCAACTTCTTTTCCTTTCTATTGAGTGTTTGCATGTATTCCAAAGTTCCATGCATTTTGCAATAAGGTGGATTCCCTTGGTTTGCAATAACAGGGACAGTGACCATCAATTATCATTAAGTTCTTTAGTTCCGCCCCTTTTTCTGGGTTAAGGAGGGGAAAAGGGGACCTCTAGTTCAGTTCACACAGAGAAGCCTTTCGTACAGGACGTGAATCAGTTCCACCTGTAGAAAGCTTCATCTTTTACAGCTTTGCTGGGGGAATCCAGTCCCACAGCTCTACAGAGAACTACAGCATAGCCTTTGTTGGGGAATTTAGTTCCACAACTCTCCAACCAGCTCTTTGCTGGAGAAATACAGCTCTACGGTTTTACAGCCAGCCTTCGCTGGGAATTGAAATCCTTTTTTCCTCTTGGAAATCTACTAAAGGACTCTGTTTGGTAAGGACCACTTGCGGCAGCCATAACGCAATTTGGACTGGGTGTAGGGGCCCACGTCAGCAGAGCTTAAGCTAGATTGCCCAGGGAGGGGTCAAGGATTTCCCTTGTAGAAGGAAGAAACAGTTTATGAAGAAAGTTGCCTGTCCCTTGTGGACAAGATTTATTTATTTATTTATTTACTTTATTTGTATACCTCCCTTCTCAGCCCTTAGGCGACTCAGAGCGGTTAACAACAAACAGCAGCAGACATTCAATGCTAGCATCATACAAACCATATAAAAACAATTAACACAATAATACACTAAGCAATTAACATCAATAAACATCAATAACAACTCATTAGCGTCTCATAACTAAAATCATAATCCAAGCTCGTCATCCGTTGTTCCGATTTCCTATAATTCATTATAATTCATTGCACTGCATATTCAAACGCCTGTTCAAATAACCAGGTTTTCACTTTCTTCCGAAATGCCATTAATGAGGGAGCCRATCTAATGTCTGTGGGAAGAGCGTTCCACAGCCGAGGGGCCACCACTGAGAAGGCCCTGTCCCTCRTCCCCGCCAACCGTGCCTGAGTTGCAGGCRGGATCGAGAGCAGGGCCTCCCCAGAAGATCTTAAAATCCTASTGGGTTCGTAGGCGGAGATGCGTTTGGATAGRTAATTTAAGCAAGCCACCAGTTGATTCATTTGTATTTGTTTGATTTATTGATTTATTTATTGAAGTATTTGTTTGATTTATTGAAGATTTAAGCAACAATAAAAACTTTGTTGAACTTTCTAAGTCTTTAAAAGAACTTTGTATGGGGAAATCCAAAAGGCCTCTCAGCCRAGGCACCCCTGGCGTCCCGTTGGGCATTCAGAAAACACGTCCTGTCTACAGACTCTTTTACAGGCCCAGMGCGTGACAGCACAAAATGGCTCTTTGGTTGTTGTTTTATACAATCTCCTACCAAAGGGAATCAGCCAAAGGACTGATTTCTCCTCTCTCTGCCATCTTTGACTCTCCTCCCGTCCTACCCTTTGCCCTGTTCTTGCTTTGCCTTTGACAGGAACCCACAGTTTGAGCTGCAGGAAAAATCCCTTGATCGTCCCCGTCATTCACGACCTCAGCCAGCACTTCTACCACACCCAGGCCATCCTCGTCACCTTCAGCTCTCCGTATGTTGCCATCTCCGGGGTGGCCCTTCGCTCCTTCCACAACTTTGACCCCATCACTGTCAGCAACTGCCAGAGCGGACAGACCTATAGCCCGGCTGAACAGAGGTGAGCTTCTCTTTTGTGTTCCTTTTCTCCTCCTCCTCCTCTTGATCCTGTCTCACCCATAGACCTCTGGCCTCCGCAGATCCGATCAAGGGGATAATAAGGAATAAGGGGAGAAAGGATGGGTGATCGCCTTTGGTGTTGCCGTCAGAAGCCAAACCGTTCCCATGGGATGTGAATGGACAGGGCATCGCTTAATCCGCAAGGGGAAAATGCCAGTGGATTATTTCCACCTCATTTGCTCCCACCGTGTGACTCCACAAAAGTAGTATTCTTGCACCTCCTTCGGTATTTCTAAGGCTTGCATCTCACCTTCACCACAGCAGCTTTCCAAGATGTAAACACCTAGCAATGCAAATAGATAAAATAGACATATGAGGGGCATTCATTACAGATGTCCCCTGACCCACTTCTATTTATCATAGGATGCTGAAACTGCACATGTGTCATGATATAAGTCTCTATAAGTTACGTGTCAATTTACAACTCAGAACTGATAATGGTCTTGATTGTACAGGTGCTGAAGTGGAGCAAGGTTTCATAATGGATTTTGTAGAATACAAAGCAATCCTCAAGTTCCTTTCCTTGAAAGGCCACACACCAAAGGAGACATTCAATGAGATGAAAGATGTTTATGGTGATGATTCCCCATCATATGGTGGAGTCAAGAACTGGCATTGTCAATTCAAATGTGGCTGGATTTCACTGGAAACAGTTCCAATTCTAGGGCAACCCCACTCTGCTATTGATGGATACACCATCCAGCAAGTGGAGGTCACCATTTTGGAAAATCACTGCATAACCATTTGCCACAGAGCACAAAATGTCAAGATGAATGTGGGGTTCATGGAAAAAATCACCAAAGACCATCTTCACATGCATAAGGTATCCACTCACTGTGTGCCCCGGCTGCTCACACCTTTCCAGAAGCAGAAAGGAGTCGGATGCTCTCAGGCTCGATTGACAATGACATGCCATGGAAACCAGGAGGACTTTTTCAACAGAGTGATCACACCAGATGAGAGCTGGGTCCATCACTCTGATCATGAGACTAAAGTCCAGACAACATAATGGAAGCATCCTGACTCACTGCCTCCAGAGAAGGCACGAGCCCAACTCTCATAGAATCATAGAATCGTAGAGTTGGAAGAGACCTCATGGGCCATCCAGTCCAGTCCAACCCCCTGCCAAGACGCAGGAATATTGCATTCAAAGCAACCCCGACAGATGGCCATCCTGCCTCTGTTTAAAAGCTTCCAAAGAAGGAGCCTCCACCACACTCCGGGGCAGAGAGTTCCACTGCTGAACAGCTCTCACAATCAGGAAGTTCTTCCGCATGTTCAGATGGAATCTCCTCTCTTGTAGATTGAAGCCATTGTTCCATGTCCTAGTCTCCAGAGAAGCTGAAAACAAGCTTGCTCCCTCCTACCTGTGGCTTCCTCTCACATATTTATACATGGCTATCATATCTCCTCAGTCTTCTCTTCTTCAGGCTAAACATGCCCAGCTCTTTAAGCCGCTCCTCATAGGGCTTGTTCTCCAAACCCTTGATCATTTTAGTCGCCCTCCTCTGGACACATTCCAGCTTCGGCAGGCAAGATCATGCTCACAGTGTTTTGGGACCAGCACGGGACCAGTCACTGCTGTGGACATTACGGGAGGCCATCAAAACCAAGAGACAATGTGACATGCTCACCAAAGGTGTCGACCTTCTGCAAGACAGTGCACCAGTTCACAACTCACCTGTTTATTTATCGTGTCAGGCAACTGAACAGTTGTATTAAATTTTTGACAGAACAAACATACAAAATATCCTCAGAGCTTGGGATGCTTGTCTGTTCTTGAGATGAAAAGCACATGTCTGTGTTTTAGATGGATTAGGGATCAGTTGGTTTTCCCTGTAGTAGGCAGTAAGAGCACCTAGAGCTTTGGAGAGCTTCTGTTCAACCATCTCAAAGCTCCCTGCTTGAGCAGTAATGGCACGATCATCAGCATAGATGAAACTCTCTGTCCCTTCTGGCAGTGGCTGGTCATTTGTGTAGATGTTGAACATGGATGGGGCAAGCATGCTCCCCTGAGGCAGGCCATTCTTCTGTTTCCGCCATCTGCTTCTCTGGCCCTGGAACTCAACAAAAAAGCTCCTGTTTTGTAGCAGGTTTCCTATGAGGTGGGTGAGGTGGTAGTCCTTTGTGATATTATACATTTTTCTCAGGAGGAGGCGGTGGATCACAGTATCATAAGCTGTGGACAGGTCTATGAAGACAGCTCCTGTGATCTGCTGCCTTCAAAGCCATCTTCTATGTGCTGAGTCAGGTTCAGCACTTGCAATGTGCAGCTTTTGCCTTTCCTAAAGCCAGCTTGCTGTGGAATCAGACATGGGTCTATTTTTTCTGTAATTCTATGCAACTCACCTGTTGCCAAAATGGAAGCATGCTCTGGTGGCCTTGAAATTCTCCCACATCCCCTTTATTGACCCAATCCTGCACCATCGCACTTCCACCTCTTTCCAATAATGAAGTTATTTTTGAAGGGCAAGCGTTTTTCAGAAGATGAGTCTCTGATTTCCGAAGTCACAACGTGGTTTTTGGAGCAACCTGTCGACTTCTCCAAGCGAGGTGTTTACAGTTGCTTCAAAAGTGTGTGTCCCTGGGTGGCACCGATGGAGAGAAGGACTCAGAACTGGGCCAAGCTTCATTGCTCTCAGTCCACAGGAAGTGGGTCAGGGGACATCTTTCATGAATGCCCCTCATAGATAAACCTCACAAGTAGAATTTGATTTGATTCGGGACACATTTAAGTGTGAGAAAAGAACACAAGACAATAATGTTGTTGGTCTCTTCCTCGTGTGCTAACTTCCCAATGGAAGCCACTGTTCCTTTTTGTCTGATGTGCCATTCAGTTCACGTTTTGGAACTGAAATTAGTGTGCATCTTACAATCGATAGCATCTTACAATTGAAGGAATATGATGATTAAAATCGTTCTTTTCCACGTTCCAATGTCATCATGGGAGTTCTGATTCCGAACGGGACTTGGCCAGACGTTTACAAACTGGGCTTTTCATTTAAAACTCAATCTGGCTCTTCTTGAAGCCTCGGTGCCCCATTCATCTCATTTCAATGGAATATCTAGGTCAGAAGACACTGTCTGTATTGATTTCTTTTTCTTTCTTCCACCGCCACCCCCTTCCTTCTCTCTCTCTCTTTTTCCCTATGGGCACACTTATATTTGTCTTTGTAGGCTGAAAAGGAAGCTTCTAATAGTTTAGTGAAAGATATTGAACGGAAATCCCATACAAACTCTTCTGTTTACGCTTCCCCATCCAGGATGCCAAGAAATTACACAGAGCAACAACAACAACAACAACAACATTCTTTGTGTCTTCATTTTGAGGCCTTTTTCCTTGGGTTATTTGGGGTACTGATTCAGAAAACTCATTGGATAGACCACATCAGCTCTAGTTTCTTAGATATGGTTATGATGATTGTCTACAAGCGAGGAGATGAAGACTTACTGATGGTATATTTCTGTCTCTCAAAAACGAGAACTGATAGGGTAACACTGGTCCAATTTTTGGAACCAATAGGTCAAATATACCCAGAAACAGGGCTAACATTTTAGGCACCAAAATATGTCCAGTTTTATTGTTGTTGCTGATTGTTAGACTATAATTCAAAATTTTGTTCGATAGAGTTACAAGCTGGGCAGATGCGAGGAATGCTGTGGATGTAGCATATCTGGATTTCAGTAAGGCATTCGACAAGGTCCCCCATGACCTTCTGGCAAACAAACTAGTCCAATGTGGGCTAGGCAAAACTACGGTGAGGTGGATCTGTAATTGGTTAAGTGGACGAACCCAGAGGGTGCTCACCAATGCTTCCTCTTCATCTTGGAAAGAAGTGACAAGCGGAGTGCCAGGGTTCCGTCCTGGGCCCGGTCCTGTTCAACATCTTTATTAATGACTTAGATGAAGGGCTTAGAAGGCAGGATCATCAAGTTTGCAGATGACACCAAATTGGGAGGGATAGCCAATACTCCAGAGGACAGGAGCAGGATTCAAAACGATCTTGACAGATTAGAGAGATGGGCCAGAACTAACAAAATGAAGTTCAACAGTGACAAATGCAAGATACTCCACTTTGGCAGGAAAAACGAAATGCAAAGATACAGAATGGGGACAATGCCTGGCTCGAGAGCAGTACGTGTGAAAAAGATCTTGGAGTCCTTGTGGACAACAAGTTAAACATGAGCCAACAATGTGATGTGGCGGCAAAAAAAAGCCAATGGGATTTTGGCCTGTATCAATAGGAGCATAGTGTTTAGATCTAGGGAAGTCATGCTACCCCTCTATTCTGCTTTGGTTAGACCACACCTGGAATATTGTGTCCAATTCTGGGCACCACAATTCAAGAGAGATATTGACAAGCTGGAATGTGTCCAGAGGAGGGTGACTAAAATGATCAAGGGTCTGGAGAACAAGCCCTATGAGGAGCGGCTTAAGGAGCTGGCATGTTTAGCCTGAAGAAGAGAAGGCTGAGAGGAGATATGATAGCCATGTATAAATATGTGAGAGGAAGCCACAGGGAGGAGGGAGCAAGCTTGTTTTCTGCTTTGGAGACTAGGACGGAACAATGGCTTCAAACTTCAAGAGAGGAGATTCCATCTGAACACGAGGAAGAACTTCCTGATTGTGAGAGCCGTTCAGCAGTGGAACTCTCTGCCACGGAGCATGGTGGAGGCTCCTTCTTTGGAAGCTTTTAAACAGAGCCTGGATGGCCATCTGTCAGGGGTGATTTGAATGCAATATTCCTGCTTCTTGGCAGGGGGTTGGACTGGATGGCCCAGAGGTCTCTTCCAACTCTTTGATTCTATGATTCTATGATTGTATCTTAGGATGCCTTTAGTACCTAAACTAAACTCACCTGACTGATGTTTTGAATGTGATGTGTATTTAAAACACAAACAAAGTTAAAAACTTGGCATTGTACTAAATGTCCTTTGACCAGAAGCTGGCCACTTGGAGTGCCTCTGGTGTTGCCGCAAGAAGGTCCTCCATTGTGCATGTGACAGGGCTCAGGTTGCATTGCAGCAGGTGGTCTGTGGTTTGCTCTTCTCCGCACTCGCATGCCGTGGACTCCACTTTGTAGCCCCATTTCTTAAGATTGGCTCTGCATCTCGTGGTGCCAGAGCGCAGTCTGTTCAAGGCCTTCCAAGTCACCCAGGATTCTCTGAGCCCAGGAGGAATTTTAGCCTGCCACTTTTGGACTCTAGCTTCCTGATGTGTTCCTGTGAGTATCTGTGTAGATCTTAGGAAGCTGTTTATTTAAGGTGCTTCCTGGTTGATATTTGAACAGAGGATGGGCCAGAGATGTCACTGCCTTGGTCCTTTCATTACAGGCTGCTACTTCCTGATGGATATAAGCTGATGCAATACTGGCTGGACAGTGTAATTCCTCCAGTGGTGTGAGGCATAGACAACCTGTGATAATGTGGCATATCTTGTTAAGAGCCACATCCACTCCTTTAGTATGGTGATATGTTTCAGCAGCAAAGTAGCCAAACGCAAGGGCAGATGTCTTCACTGTGTCTGGTTGTGATCCCCAGGTTGTGCCAGTCAGCTTTCCTACGATATTATTTCTAGCACCACTTTTGCTTGATAGTCAAGCAGTCAAGCAGTGCTTCTTTTAAGTCAGAGCACGGTCCAGAGTGACTCCCAGGTATTTTGGTGTGCTCCAGTGCTCCAGTGGTATTCCTTCCCAGGTCATCCTCAGAGCTTGAGATGCTTGTCTGTTCTTAAGATGAAGAGCACAAGTCTGTGTTTTAGATTGATTAGGAATTGGTTACTTTTCCCTGTAATAGACAGTAAGAGCACCTAAAGCTTTGGAGAGCTTCTGTTCAACTATTTCAAAGCTCCCTGCTTGAGCGTTGATGGAACAATCATCAGCATAGATGAAACTCTCTGTCCCTTCTGGCAGTGGCTGGTCATTTGTGTAGAAGTTAACATTGACGGAGCAAGCACGCTCCCCTGAGGCAGGCCGTTCATACGTCTTTGCTATCTGCTTCTCTGACCCTGGGACTCAACAAAAAAGCTCCTGTTTTGTAGTAGATTTCCTATGAAGATATTCTTCTGTTTTTTGCATCTGCTTTGAGTTTCTTAAATGAGATTCAAAGTGACTTACACTTGTAGCAACGTAACGATTACAATTTAAAATCTACAATGTAGAAATATTAAAATATAATTAAGATTAATTAATCTATATAAATAAAAATGTAATATTCATTTGTGAGATTAACAAAACTCAAAAACCACTGGATGAATTGACACCAAATTTGGACACAAGACACCTCTCAGGCTAACGAGTGACCATCACTCATAAAAACACTGAAAAATACAAAAGGGACTTAAAAAGCCAAAAAACAAAAAAAAATTACACTCCAGCTCATGTGCAAAACCACATATATATACACAAACACACATATATGCATATCCACACACAAAACATACACAGAAAGCAAGCAAGCAAGGAAGGAAGGAAGGAGAGAAGGAGTGAGAGAAGGAGAGAAGGAAGGAAGGAGGGAACGAGGGAGAGAAGGGAAAGAAGGAGGGAAGGAGAGAAAGAAGGAAAGAAAGAAAGGTAGAGAAGGAAGGAGGGAGAGAAAGAGGGAGAGAAGAAGGAGAGAAGGAAGGAAAAAAGAAGGATAGAGAAAGAAGGAAAGAGAGAAGGAGGGAGAGAAAGAGGGAAGGAGAGAAGGAAGGAAAGAAAGAAGGGTAGAGAAGAAAGGAAGGAGAGAAGGAGGGAAAGGAGGGAAGGACATAAAGAAGGAAAGAAAGAAGGGTAGAGAAGGAAGGAATGAGAGGAGGGAGAGAATGAAATAAGTGAAAGAGGGAAGGAAGGAGAGAAGGAACGAAAGAGAGAAAGAGGGAGAGAAGGAAGGAAAGAGACAATGAAGGATGGAACCAAAGAGCAAAGGAAGCGATAAAAGAAACAGGTAGAGAAGGAAGAAAGAAGGGAAAGAAACAGAGGGAAGGAAGGAAAGAGGGAGGGAGGGAGGGAGGGAAGGAGAGAAAGAAAGAAGGAGAGAAAGAAAGAAGGAGAGAAAGAGGGAGGGAAGGTTGGCCACAGCAACGCGTGGTGGGTACAGCTAGTTAATAACAATAACAACAACAACAACAACACTCAACGATTTCTCTCTTAAAAGAAACTTTTAAACCCAATAAGCAATAAGAAATCTCTGAATTGTTGTGAGTCTTCCAGGCTGTCTGCCATGATCCAGAAGCATTCTCTCCTGATGTTTCACCTGCATCTATGGCAGGCATTCTCAGAGGTTGTGAGGTCTGATAGAACATAGACATCTAAGATTTGGACAGTCCACCCAAATACTGGGTTTGTAATGTAAGACAGAAAATATATAGTTTTTCACTGATATTAGGGAGATGAAGAATATTCAGAAATATTTGAAAAGTGACCAAAAACATGTTTCTGAAGTAATGAGAACCCCTGATGAAATGAAACCTGGACTGATGGGAAGGTTTGCAGCTTGAGACTTTGAGGAAGAGGCTTCAAGTGGTCCATCTTGAAGCTCAAAAGAGATTGAGCAGCATCGCCTCGTGCAGCCCAGGACTTGTTGTGATGCTAAACTAGAGCTGCATTTTCGATTCCCTTGCAAACTGCAAAGGCGATAGAATAACAAATAGTGTTTACTCCATGCCAGCATCAGCATTGATTAATTCTCGCTCCCCAGTGTCTTCCTGCTCAGTTCAGTCTCACAGTATTGATCGCCTTCCGTTTTGCATCGCTCCCTCCTTTTCAAAATGGAAAGCGATATTTGGGGTGATTGAGCTCTCCGCAGCTCTTAAACTGAATCCCACTGAATCTTGGTCAAAAGGCAATGCGTCAAAGATGCAGGGATCAATAGGTAGATATCCTCTTGAAGGAAAGCTTAGATGAAAGGAGGAGAAACAATCCAGGGAAAGAGTGTCTTGTGAGACTGTGGAGAGAGAAATCAACACAACGCCTGTTGCAAACTGGAATTGAATGAGGATTCTGGGAGAATTAGGTCCAAATTGTGGAAATTGGGTTTGCTTGGGCAAGCCACACTCCATTAGTTTCAGAGGAAGGGGAAAGCAAACAAAAAAATTGAGAGCTAAATTGACAAAGAAAAAACATGGCTGTGGCTCACAAATGGAGCTTTGAAAAAGGAGACAAAGGGCCTGATTCTGGCACCCCAAGAACAAGCCATTCGAACCAATGCCATCAAAGCCAGAATTGAAAAGTCGGTGACAGATCCCAAATGTAGACTCTGCAAGGAAGCAGACGAAACAATAGATTATATACTCAGCTGCTGCAAGAAGATTTTGCAGACAGACTACAAGCAGAGGCACAACACCATTGCTCAGATAATTCATTGGAACTTGTGCCACAAATACCATCTGCCTGCGACAAAGAACTGGTGGGATCACAAGCCAGAAAAAGTTACAGAGAATGAACACGCCAAACTCCTCTGGGACTTCTGAATTCAGACAGATAGAGTTTTGGAGCACAATACTCCTGACCTCACAATTATGTTAAAAAACAAAGTATGGATTGTTGATGTTGCAATCCCAGGTGATAGCAGGATTGAAGAGAAACAACTGGAAAAGCTGACACAACCAAACAGTTGTGTTGCACTAAAAACAAACAAACAAAACACAAAGTTTGCAAGCTTGGTAGTTGATTTTGACCAGTAGCTGGCCACTTGGAGTGCCTCTGGTGTTGCTGCAAGAAGGTCCTCTTGTGCATGTGGCAGGGCTCAGGTTGCATTGCAGCAGGTGGTCAGTGGTTTGCTCTTCTCCACACTCGCATGTCGTGGATTCCACTTTGTGGCCCCATTTCTTAAGGTTGGCTCTGCATCTCGTGGTGCCAGAGCGCAGTCTGTTCAGCGCCTTCCAAGTCGCCCAGTTTTCTGTGTGCCCAGGGGGGAGTCTCTCATTTGGTATCAGCCATTGATTGAGGTTCTGGGTTTGAACCTGCCACTTTTGGACTCTTGCTTGCTGAGGTGTTCCAGAGAGTGACTCTGTATATATTAGAAAACTATTTCTTGTTTTAAGTCGTTGGCATGCTGGCTGATACCCAAACAGGTGGTGGGCCGGACATGCCACTGCCTTGGTCCTTTCACTATTGGTTTCTACTTCCTGGTGGGTCAGGTAGGGCAATACCAGCTAGACAGTGTAATTTCTCCAGTGGTGTAACTTGCTGACACCCCGTGATAATGTGACATGTCTAATTAAGAGCCACATCTACTGTTTTAGCATGGTGAAAATAGATCTTTATATTTGGGAGATGTAGTTGCTGGGATTTATAGTTCTCCTACAATCAAATAGCATTCTGATTCCCACCAATGAGAGAATTGGGCCAAACTTCCCACTCAGAACCCCTGTGACCAATAGAAAATACTATGTTTTTTGATGTTCTTTGGCGACTCCTCTGACACCCCCTTGCGACCTCCCAGGGGTCCCGACCCCCAGGTTGAGAAACACTGGTAAAGGGCATATGAATCCTTTCTAAAGTTTTGGATACATTTCCCCAATTCCATTTTCATTCTGGCTTCCTGTCCTTCCTTCAGGTCCTGAAATGACCTAACGCACTGCTTTCCCTCTGCGTTCCCCCAACAGCTGTGTCCATAACTCTTGCGAATCCACTAGCTGCCAAGAGCTGGAGATTGAGAACGCCGAGCTGAGCTTCACCGACAAGGGACGCAATCATGGTGCCCATTGCAACGTCACCTGCAAGACAGGGTACATCCTCCAGATACAGAGGGACGACGACCCCGCAAGGCGCCAGGTCTTTCATGGCAGGAGAACTTCTGCTGTATGATAAAACGAGGGGATTGTCCATCTTGTGGGGGGGGGGGGGGAGGAAACTCTAGAGCCAGGGTTTGTATTTTGAGAGTCCAGTCGATAGAAGAGAGATCTCAGATACTAGAGATCGGTACATTCCAACTGTCCCAGTTTGGCAAGGACAGTCCCAATTAAACCCTTTGCCATTCCACTTCTTCAGTTGCATTTAAAATAGTCTGGTCTTTTTTTCTCCCCCCCCCCCCCATTTCCCCTTTTGTCCTCAGCTTATTTAAATTGCTGCAAACTGAGTTCATATTGCAAAAAATGTTTGTGTACCCAGTTAATTCAATAGGAGTATAAGTCCATCCAGGGAGAGAGGGAGGGGTATAAATACATTATTATTATTATTATTATTATTATTATTGACACAAAAGCACAGTATGTCACAGCAAACGAGATCTATATGCTGGATTTCATATCACAAAATCACAAGTCGAACACTTCCCAAGCATCTAGGACTGTGTGATGTATTATTATTGTTGTTGTTGCTGTTGTTGTTATTATTATTTTACTGACACAAAACCACAGTATGTCACAGCAAATGAGATCTATATGCTGGATTTCATATCACAAAATCACAAGCATCTAGGACTGTGTGATGTATTTATTATTATTATTATTATTATTATTATTATTATTATTATTATTTGAAACACAACAAGATGAATCCACAGCAGTCTAGGACTGTGTGATGTATCGGCGAATAATGCGTGCAGATCCCAGTAGGGTGGTCTTCTGCAGCTGGCAGCTGGTAATCTTGTCAACACCGATTGTGTTTAAGTGCAGGCCAAGGTCTTTAGGCACTGCACCCAGTGTGCCGATCACCACTGGGACCACCTTAACCGGCTTGTGCCGGAATCTTTGCAGTTTGATGATGATGATGATGATTATTATTATTATTTGAAACACAATAAGATGAGTCCACAGCAGACACTCTGCTGGCTGGTAATCTTGTCAACGCCGATTGTGTTTAAGTGCAGGCCAAGGTCTTTAGGCACTGCACCCAGTGTGCCGATCACCACTGGGACCACCTTAACTGGCTTGTGCCAGAATTTTGCAGTTTGAGTATTATTATTATTATTATTATTATTATTATTATTATTATTATTGACAGGAGCGAGTTGAGGGTACAGTTAAAATACATTTAAAAACACAAAGTGCCATTATGCTAAATGTCCTTTGACCAGAAGCTGGCCACTTGGAGTGCCTCTGGTGTTGCTATAAGAAGGTCCTCCATTGTGTATGTGGCAGGGTTCATACTGCATTATAGTAGGTGGTGTATGGTTTGCGCGGCTCCATACTCACATGTTGCGGACTCCACTTGGTAGCCCCATTTCTTAAGGTTAGCTCTGCATCTCGTGGTGCACAACCTGTTCAGCGCCTTCCACGCGACCCAATCTTATCTGTACCCAGGAGCGAGTTTCTCATCCAGTCTCAGCCACGGATTAAGGTGCTGGGTTTTAACCTGCCACTTTTGGATTCTCACTTGCTGAGGTGTTCCTGCGAGTATGACCCTCCAGGAAGGACTGGAGCCACTGCAGAACAGGACCTCCAAGACCCATCCCTGCAAGGCGCCCTAGAAGGATAGTTGTCTATGATATCGAAGGCCACTGAGAGGTCCAGGAGAACCAACAGGGACACACTCCCCCTGTCAAGCTCTCTATGGAGATCATCCACAAACAACTTATTTATTTATTTATTTATTTTATTTACGGCATTTATATGCCGCCCTTCTCACCCCGAAGGGGACTCAGAGCGGCTTACAAGATATATTTTCATACAATATTTTATATTATTAGCATAGTACAATATCAGTATATATTACGATATTGCACTATACCATTATATTGTAATGTTATTAGTAATATTACATGTAATGTAAATATATAATTATAATATTGAATTATTATTACTAGTATTATATTGTATTACATTATAATATTATAAATATTATATGTATATATAATATACTATATTATATTATTAATCATAGAATCATAGAATCAAAGAGTTGGAAGAGACCTCATGGGCCATCCAGTCCAACCCCATTCTGCCAAGAAGCAGGAATATTGCATTCAAATCACCCCTGACAGATGGCCATCCAGCCTCTGTTTAAAAGCCTCCAAAGAAGGAGCCTCCACCACACTCCGGGGCAGAGAGTTCCACTGCTGAACGGCTCTCACAGTCAGGAAGTTCTTCCTAATGTTCAGATGGAATCTCCTTTCTTGTAGTTTGAAGCCATTGTTCCGCGTCCTAGTCTCCAAGGAAGCAGAAAACAAGCTTGCTCCCTCCTCCTGTGGTTTCCTCTCACATATTTATACATGGCTATCATATCTCCTCTCAGCCTTCTCTTCTTCAGGCTAAACATGCCCAGTTCCTCAAGCCCCTCATAGGGCTTGTTCTCCAGACCCTTGATCATTTTAGTCGCCCTCCTCTGGACACATTCCAGCTTGTCAATATCTCTCTTGAATTGTGGTGCCCAGAATTGGACACAATATTCCAAGTGTGGTCTAACCAAAGCAGAATAGAGGGGTAGCATGACTTCCCTAGATCTAGACACTATGCTCCTCTTGATGCAGGCCAAAATCCCATTCGCTTTTTTTGCCGCCACATCACATTGTTGGCTCATGTTTAACTTGTTGTCCACGAGGACTCCAAGATCTTTTTCACACGTACTGCTCTCGAGCCAGGCATCTCCCCATTCTGTATCTTTGCATTTCGTTTTTTCTGCCAAAGTGGAGTATCTTGCATTTGTCACTGTTGAACTTCATTTTGATAGTTTTGGCCCATCTCTCTAATCTGTCAAGATCGTTTTGAATCCTGCTCCTGTCCTCTGGAGTATTGGCTATCCCTCCCAATTTGGTGTCATCTGCAAACTTGATGATCATGCCTTCTAGCCCTTCATCTAAGTCATTAATAAAGATGTTGAACAGGACCGGGCCCAGGACGGAACCCTGCGGCACTCCACTTGTCACTTCTTTCCAAGATGAAGAGGAAGCATTGGTGAGCACCCTCTGGGTTCGTCCATTAACCAATTACAGTTCCACCTCACCGTAGTTTTGCCTAGCCCACATTGGACTAGTTTCCTTGCCAGAAGGTCATGGGGGACCTTGTCGAAGGCCTTATTGAAAAGGCCTTAGTAAAGCAACTAAGGCCTTAGTAAAGAAGGCCTTAGTAAAGCAACTAAGCAACTAAGCATCATCCATGGCTGTCTCAGTTCCATGTCCCGGTCTGAAACCCAACTGTGACGGATCCAGATAGTCAGTTTCATCCAAGAACCCCTGGAGCTGCGAGGCAACCACGTGTTCCAAGACTTTGTCCAAAAAGGGGCAAAGTAACCTCCCTCCCCACCTTGAAACTAACAGTTTACTAGTGAAACCAGACAAATTATAAACATTGCAATGATAAGGGAAATGCAATTCAAACCCAGCGTTGCTTGCACCTTGTTGTTTACACCGGTCGGAGAGGGCAGAGCAAAATGAGATGGACACGTAAGAAAAACATTGTAAATGGACTCAACTCCCTGTAATCATAATTTACTGTGGTTAATGGGGTTGTTTCCTTGCTTCCTCCTGTCTCATTTGTTCACAAAGGCCTCTCCCCCCATTTTCCCATTCCTTTAGGAAAAAGCCCAACTCAGTTGGTGGTTCAGTGTCATCTCTGCCTCCCTTTTACTGCTGCCGCTGTGGCCAGGAGGTGCTATTTAAAGCCGTGTAACTCCTTAATGCGCCGTAAAGGTTTCATCAATCATGCTGGGAAGTGAACAGTCCCGATCTCATGTGGGTTCAATTAGCGGCATCGCTGCGGTGCACTTTTAGGGAAAGGAGCTGTCCCCAAATGGTTCTTAATGCACAACGCTCAATGGCATTACCAAGGGCCAGAATGATCCTGAAGTGGCAACCCAACATTCTGCTATATTCCACTCCTCCTTAATGACCTTTCTCGCCATGACGACTTTCAAAGTTTCACAGTTATCCATCAGGCCTGCCTTGGACAAGACTTCCCTCCCCTCTTCGGAGTCTCCCAGGAGGCATTCCCCATTTTGCATCCATTGACTGGCTGGAAAGGAGGATAAATTGTGTGCCTTTTGTGTCTGGAGAGAAACGCCAATCTTCCCCAGAGTCCGACCAGGAAACTGCTTTTCCCATTTGAAAGCAGCCGTATATCAATGGGAGACAGGCCCTAACCTGCTGAAACCATTAGGGCGCCTTGGCAAACAGGGGATTCCAGTTCCCTTTGAAGTGTGCTGGAAAAAATTCCCCCGGCTTTCATAAGCACACATCAATACTTGGCAGTCCTGGAGCATTGCTTTTCAACAGCCCCAAATCAGATATTCCTGCCCTCTGGGAACATGTAGTCCTTTAGCCACTGAAATCCAACTTGGGGATAGTATCACCTTTTACCCCTTCCGTCTTCCTTCTGTTTGGCTTGGATCTTTCAAAGTGCTTTAATCTTCCTTCGTTCTCTGACTTCCTCTGTATAGATGTCCCCTTTCTTGTTATGCATCCCGAAAAGAAGACATTTTTATCTCTCATCTCTGAAAAAGTTGGCTCTCTAAGTCTTTCCTGAGTCAAAGATTGGTGCTTTGGAAAGTGCCTTTTGTTTAGTGCCCATAAGCACATTACCACTAGAATCATAGAATCAAAGAGTTGGAAGAGACCTCATGGGCCATCCAGTCCAACCCCTTGCCAAGCAGCAGGAAAATTGCCATTACTTATATTTGTTTATGTGTCATCCGCAACCAGGAAACATGCAGTGTATTACATTTCCTAAACAGCCTCCCAACCCACAACATCCCAACCAAAAAACAAATTCTGCCAAAGTTCAACAAACTCCTCGCTTTGACCAGCTATCTGCGACCACTTTGGAGTGCCCTCTGGTGTTGCACGCCAAGAAGGATCCTTCCATTGTGCATCTGGCAGGGCTCAGGTTGCATTGCAGCAGGTGGTCAGTGGTTTGCTCTTCTCCACACTCGCATGTGGTGGATTCCACTTTGTAGCCATTTCTTAAGGTTGGCTCTGCATCTCGTGGTGCCAGAGCGCAGTCTGTTCAGTGCCTTCCAAGTCGCCCAGTCTTCTGTGTGCCCAGGGGGGAGTCTCTCATTTGGTATCAGCCATTGGTTGAGGTTCTAGGTTTGAGCCTGCCACTTTTGGACTCTTGCTTGCTGAGGTGTTCCAGCAAGTAGATCTTAGAAAACTATTTCTTGTTTTGAGTCATTGGCATGCTGGCTGATATCCAAACAGGGGATGAGCTGGAGATGTCTCTGCCTTGGTCCTTTCACTATTGGCTGCTACTACCCGGCGGATGTCAGGTGGTGCAATACCGGCTAAGCAGTGTAATTTCTCCAGTGGTGTAGGGCGCAGACACCCCGTGATAATGCGGCATGTCTCATTAAGAGCCACATCCACTGTTTTAGCGTGGTGAGATGTGTTCCATACTGGGCATGCATACTCAGCAGCAGAGTAGCAAAGCGCAAGGGCAGATGTCTTCACTGTGTCTGGTTGTGATCCCCAGGTTGTGCCAGTCAGCTTTCGTATGATATTGTTTCTAGCACCCACTTTTTGCTTGATGTTCAGGCAGTGCTTCTTGTAGGTCAGAGCAACCCAGTGATTCTGACCATGAAAGCCTTCGACAACACTTTGGTGAAACCTTTGCATTAAGAGCGAGCTCAAGATGCTTGTCTGTTCTTAAGGTGAAAGACATGTCTGTGTTTTAGATGGATTAGGGATCAGCTTTTTCCCTGTAATACGCAGTAAGAGCACCCTAGAGCTTTGGAGAGTTTCTTTCAACCATCTCAAAGCTCGCTGCTTGAGTGTTAATGGCACGATCATCTGCATAGATGAAACTCTCTGTCCCTTCTGGCAGTGGCTGGTCATTTGTGTAAATGTTGAACATGGATGGAGCAAGCACGCTCCCTGGGGCAGACTGTTCTTCTGTTTCCGCCATTTGCTTCTCTGGCCCTGGAACTCTGTTTAAAATCCTCCAAGGAAGAGCCTCCACCACAGTCAGGGCAGAGAGTTCCACTGCTGAAGCTCTCACAGTCAGGAAGTTCTTCCTAATGTTCAGGTGGAATCTCCTTTCTGTAGTTTGAAGCCATTGTTCCGCGTCCTAGTCTCCAGGGCAGCAGAAAACAAGCTTGCTCCCTCCTCCCTATGACTTCCCCTCACATATTTATACATGACTATCATGTCTCCTGTGGCATGGTGCAGGCCTGGGAGAGAAAGTGTGTGTCTGCCTTGCCTGCAGCACCTCTCCTCTAGAGTAGAAACAGCTTAAATGCCTAAAATGATGGGAAGGGGAGCCCCCAAATAATGTACCGGATAGAAAACAAATCTTTCGGCACCCCAGAGCAAAAACAGATATCTGCCCTCCCAAGTTTGGAAGGCCCCCGAAAAACAAATCAGAGCCCCACCGAAATCCGGGGCACCAAAATGAATCGTGGTTTACCCCAAATGCACAATCTAAATTACCACCACTCCTCAAACATTAGAACAGTGTGCGTGTGGTGCATGGATGGGCATCACACTTTGGTGCAGACGTGTCTTGTGCATGGATGCATATTACATATGAGGATGTTCATTGGACATCCCGGTGTGCATTGCACATTTAGATGTCCGTGTACCTTAGATTGAACACGTGGCGGTGCAATGGCACAATTCAGAAATAAGGTGGTGTCGCACACAGTGCCACATAATTTTGTGGGAGTATGAGAAGGCAAAGGCAGAAAGGTTCCGTATACTATATCATAGCATGTTTCGTGACTTCTCAGCTTGTTACATAGGAGTTTCCCCATTTTGAAAGCTTGAAATACCTCTCTCAAGACTTAATGACTGGCAGTAAGATAGATAGATAGATAGATAGATAGATAGATAGATAGATAGATAGATAGATAGATAGATAGATAGATAGATAGACAGAGAAATAGATATGCTAGGGGTGGCATATCCACATGGTCCCTAAGAACTTATCTGGTCTTCTATTTGGTTCTTGGGTTGGATGAGATTCCCTAACTTTGTTCTTGACGATACATGGATTGATTAGAAAGGGTGTTTAGGTTAATTTGCAGTTAATTTGAATGAAGCTGGAAAGGGAATTTGGGGCAACTGTGCCTTCTTTGGCTCTTAGAGAATTTTCATTCGCTTTTTTTTCTTTTCCAGCTGGAGGCTAGCGTCACCATGACATGTGTGGATGGCAAATGGAACAAGCAGGTCTCCTGTGAACCCATTGATTGTGGGATCCCGGATCAGTATCATGTTTATCCAGCCACTTTCAACTGCAGCGAAGGCACCACCTTTGGCAAGAAGTGCTCCTTCACTTGCAAGCCTCCTGCCCAGCTTAAAGGTAAGTGCATTGCCCTGCTCATAATAATAATAATAACAACAACAACAACAACAACAACAACTACAAGAAACATGAACATGTGAAAACTGTGGTCAGCAAAGAATACATTCAAAGGGTCAGAAAAATTCTCAAAAGCAAGCTCAATGGAGGCAACACCATCAAGGCCATAAACACCTGGGCCATACCTGCCTGCCTGTGTGACCGCATTTCTGTGTACGAACCCACACGATCCCTTCGATCATCTGGAGAGGCCCTACTCGCACTCCCACCTGCATCGCAGGCGCGATTGGTGGGGACGACAGAGAGGGCCTTCTCGGTGGTGGCCCCTTGACTCTGGAACTCACTCCCTAAGGACATCAGGCATGCCCCAACTCTGGCAGTCTTTAGGAGGAGCTTGAAGATGTGGTTGTTCCAGTGTGCCTTCCCAGAATAATGAACCCTTAGCATTATGTCCTCCAAAAGCACTTTATACTGATTTAGGTCTGCTCGAATGTTCCCCCAACACCCCACCTCCTCTATCCTGTTATGCCCAGCATTATTTTTTAACTTAATTACATTTGGCCCAGCCATAGTTTTTAAATGTGTTTTGTGCCACTGCTCAATGTTTAGGCTATTTGTGTATGAGATTTATTTTAGTTGCTTTGTATTAGTATTCGTATTTTGCTTCGCATTGTAATTGTTATTGCCTGTATTGCTTGTATTGATATATTGTGGGCTCGGCCTCATGTAAGCCGCACCGAGTCCCTTGGGAGATGGGAGCAGGGTATAAATAAAGTATTATTATTATTATTATTATTATTATTATTATTATTATACCTGTCATAAGATATACTGCTGGCATCATAAATTGGACACAGGCAGAACTGGACAATTTGGACAGAAAAACAAGAAAACTCATGACCATTCATAATTCACTACATCCTCGCAGTAATGTTGACCAGCTCTATCTGCCTAGAAAGTCTGGCGGCAGAGGACTTTTACAAGTAAAACAAGCAGTTGAAGAAGAAATGTAAAGAATATGTAAAGGAAAGCCAAGAACCTGCTTTAATTTAAGTCAATAATTGGAAACTTCTCAAAGCACAGCAGATAAAGAGTCAGTACAAGAAAACTGCACTCCAAACCAGAGCTGACAGCTGGCACAACAAAGCCTTACATGGGCAGTTCCTTGAGAAGATTGAAGGAAACGTTGACAAGGAGAAGACCTGGTTATGACTCATGAATGGAACCCTGAAGAAAGAGACAGAAGGCCTGATTCTCCTCCGCCTTCCTCCTCCTCCACTCTTCTCTCTCTTCTCCTCCTCCTCCTCCTCCACCTCCTCCTCCCTCCTCCACCTCCTCCTTCTTCTTCTCCTCTCCTCCTCCTCCTTTCCTTTCTCCTCCTCCTCTCCTCCTCCTCCTTCTCTCTTCCTTCTTCTTCTTCTTCTCCTCCACCTCCTCCTTTCCTCTCCTCCTCCTCCTCTCTCCTCCTCCTCTCTCTTCCTCTTCTCCTTTCCTCCTCCTCCTCCCCTCCCCCCTCCTTCCTCTTCCTCCCCTCCTTCCCTCTCTCTCTCTCCTTCCTCCTTCTTCTTAACCCACTGCACCACTGGAGGCTCGATTAAAGATGGAAGGTGCCCCTAAATACACATGGGTCTACTCTAATTCAAGAATGGAAAGGAAAGAGTTGTTGGACTTCACCTCCCATCACCCCTCACCAGAGTCACCAATGATACAGAATCATGAGAATCACCATTTGGCTACATCTGGAGGGTTGAAGTTCTCTCTGTCCCTGCTTTCGAACTCCAACAGATCCTTCTCAATGTTAAATGCTCTCTTGCCAGAGAGCTTATTGGCTCCTTAGGGCTTCTTCCTGCTCTTTCGTGTTTTAAATAGGCATTCAGAAAAAAGACACGAGAAAGAGAAAAGGAATGAGAAACGAAAACAGCAACCTTTAGTGACATTTTCTCCTGATCAGAAATGATCTCTTTGGAATGAGGCCAAGGCAGACTTAACATCTGCTGCCTGTCTACGTTATGACCAAGTATTAAGGATGCTGTTCCAGTATTCATCAGGCACACATTTGAAACCAACTGTGAAGAACAAGGGAGACGTATCTCCCTAATCTTAGACCATGTTCATGAGAAAGGTGAAAGACTTTCAAAGAGTGAGGTCGTTTAAAGAGGTAAAAGCTAAGTGTTCCAAAAAGTAGGCTGTGAAGCCATCATTTTTGTTGCTGGTAGAGGTGTAATGTAAGTGAGCAATCTTATTTTTGGGTTAGTTTGCCCCACACTCATACCGATTTTGGTCACTGCAGCAACATTTTGAGACAGGTCATGCTTGATTGACCCAAGTTCACCTACGAGGGTTGAATGAAAAGTAATGCCTCCACCCTCGTTACTTGGGTTTCGATGGGAATATTTTAATAAATCAAACACAGAAATAATCCTTAGAATGTGCTCTTTAAATGCCTCTATTCACTTTTCCACATAATTATGAGATCATTTGGATACATTTCTGCCAACGATGAAGCCGTCACGGAAGAAGTCGACACTCTGTTTCCGCAACCAGCGTCTCACAGTTCTCTCAACGTCTTCATCAGAAGCATAATGATGTCCCCACAGATCTTCTTTCATTATCGGGGACAGATGGAAGAGACGGTGGTAAATCTGAACTGTATGGAGGATGTCGTATGGTGGTGAGATCAAGTACTTTCATTTCTGGGTACCCATCGTGGACAGATCTTCCGATAGCCAAGCAAAGCAATCATGTCACCCACACGTTCTTGTGAAATGCTTGAAATTTCTCTCTGAGTGATACAACAATTGTCCTGAATCAATCTGTCAACCTTTTGCTTGTGAAACTCGGTGGTTGTTGTGACAAGACGTCCAACTCTTTACTTGGCATGCAAGTCAGATGTTCCCACCTCAACATCTTTAAACTTACTCATCCAACGACGCACAGTACTCACATCAACATAAGGAGATTAGATCAGCTCCCTCACTCTTAAAGTTTCGAAGACAAGTTAAGACATGGTTTTTGAGCAAGCGTTTACAAATGCAGAGTAACTGACATAGGAACTGGAATCATTTGACGATGGAATTGGACAGTGTTTTTAACTAGGAGATGCTAATGATGTTTGGTTTCATTTTTTCTGTTGTGGTTTTTATATTGTTTTTGATGTTTATATTTGTATTTTGTATTTTGATATTATGTGTACCGCCTTGAGTCGCCGATAAGCTGAGAAAGGTGGTATACAAATATCTATATAAATAAAAATGTAATGTTCGTTTGTGGGATTAACATAACTCAAAAACCACTGGACGAATTGACACCGAATTTGAACACAAGACACATATCAGGTCAACAAGTGACCATCACTCATAAAAACACTGAAAAACACAGCGGAAGAGACTTAAAAAACCAACAAACAAAAATACATTACAATGCATACACAAAACCACATATATATACGCAAACACACATATATACACATATACACAAATACACACACACACACATATACGCATATATATACACACAAAGCACATATATACAGACTGGGCCACAGCAACATGGAAGAGACTTAAAAAACCAACAAACAAAAATACATTACAACACATGCACAAAACCATATGTATAATAATAATAATAATAATAATAATAATAATAATAATAATAATCTTTATTTATATCCTATCAGCATCTCTCCAACGGGGACTCGGGGCAGTTTACATGAGGCCAAGCCCAGACAATGTTTGTAAAGTGCTCTGGACATATTACAGCAAAATAAAACCAAAACAGAAGCAACAAGCAACAACATCATCTATATAAATAAAAATGTAATGTTAGTTTGTGGGATTAACATGATTCAAAAACCACTGGGCGAATTGACACCAAATTTGGACACAATACACCTAACAACCCAATGTATGTCCTTCACTCAACAAAATTGATTTTGTCATTTGGGAGTTGTAGTTGCTGGGATTTATAGTTCACCTACAATCAAAGAGCATTCTGAACTCCACCAATGATGGAATTGAACCACTCTTGGCACACAGAACTCCCACGACCAACAGTAAATACTAGAAGGGTTTGGTGGGCATTGACCTTGAGTTTGGGAGTTGTAGTTCACCTACATCCAGAGAGCACTTTGGACTCAAACAATGATGGATCTGGACCAAACTTGGCACGAATCCTCAATTTGCCCAAATGTGAACACTGGTGGAGTTTGGGGAAGATAGAATCTTGACATTTGGGAGTTGTAGTTTCTGGTATTTATAGTTCATCTACAATCACAGAGTATTCTGAACCCCACCAATGATGGAATTGGGCCAAACCTCCCACACAGAACAGCTATGTGAGCCACAGCAACGCGTGGCAGGGGACGGCTAGTAATTATATAAAAACGTATGAATACATTAACAATATAACATTGCAATAAACACAAACACAGTGACAGTGGTAGGATAAAAATGTTAAAAAACAAACACACATATATACACATGTTGTTGTTGTTCATTCGTTCAGTCGTCTCCGACTCTTCGTGACCTCATGGACCAGCCCACACCAGAGCTCCCTGTCGGCCGTCACCACCCCCAGCTCCTTCAAGGTCAGTCCAGTCACTTCAAGGATGCCATCCATCCATCTTGCCCTTGGTCGGCCCCTCTTCCTTTTTCCTTCCACTTTCCCCAGCATCATTGTCTTCTCTAGGCTTTGCTGTCTCCTCATGATGTGGCCAAAGTACTTCAACTTTGTCTCTAGTATCCTTCCCTCCAGTGAGCAGCCGGGCTTTATTTCCTGGAGGATGGACTGGTTGGATCTTCTCTCAGTCCAAGGCACTCTCAGAACTTTCCTCCAACACCACAGCTCAAAAGCATCTATCTTCCTTCGCTCAGCCTTCCCTAAGGTCCAGCTCTCACATCCGTAGGTTACTACAGGGAATACCATGGCTTTGACTGGGTGGATCTTTGTTGCCAGTCTGATGTCTCTACTCTTTACTATTTTATCGAGATTGGACATTGCTC